AACCCCCCGCCGCCGCCCCTCTCGCATTGACGCACGGGACAGGTATGTTGTACGGTGGCAGAGTCCGCCCCCCCAGCCCGAGCCCAACCCCTTCGCTTCAGGAGCGCACACTGGGGTTGAGGCAGAGAGAGAGACATAGAGGGAGAAGGGTTTCTAAAAGGGCAGAGTAAGAGCGAGCGAGAGGGAGGAGCAGCATTATCAGATAGAGGAACGCAAGCGCTGCTCCTGCTCTCTCTCTCTCTCTCTCCTTCCCTGTCCTTTTCTCTCTCCCCATCCCTCTCTTTGTCTCCGTCTCTCTCGCACACACGTGCGCAACGCGTTCGTTCTTTCAAACTCTCGTGGAGCATGTGCGCCCCCTCGTCCGTAATGGAAGGATCATCACCTGTCCCAGACAATGGCTTATTCATCACGAGAGACAGAGCGAGCGAGCGAGCGAGAGGGAAAACGAGAAAGAGAGAGACAAAATAAGAGAGGGCGAGAGCGAGAAAATGAGAGAGAATGAGAGAGAAAAGAAGGAAGGGATAGAAGAGAAAGAATGAAAGAGAGCGAGCACGTTGCGCGTGCCGCTGACAGAAAGGTGAGGCGAATCCCTGTCCCTGTCCCCTGCCCTGCCCGCCCCGGCCCTCGCCCCGCAGCGGCCACCGTCGCATTCAATCCAATTGGTTTCCCGGGGCGTTGCCGGCGTTGCGGTGCTGCGGAATGAGAGGGCGGTGGGGAATGGTCGCCGCCGCCGCCGCTGGTCGGGTCTGGGCTAATAAGGGTGGCCGCCGCCGGGCCGCCCGGCCCAGCCCTGCCCGCCCTGCCGCTCCGGCCCTGTAAACTCCTGGAGGGAATGTGCCGCACATTCTCCAGGCCAGCCCTCCTCGTTTTGGGTGCTGGCCGCCCCCGCCGCCCCCGAAGCCGCCCCCGGCGCGCCACCCCCTCCCTTGCGCCTCGACCGAGCCCGCAAGGCCCGCAACGTTTGCTTGTGGTGCCATTCCCAAGCTATGAGGGGTTCGCCGGTCTATCAACAGCCGTCGTTTCCTCTCTCCTCTCGTTTGCCCCACTCGGGTCCGCGCCCCATCAAGGGCCCGCGGGTCGTCTAGGCCCCCCGCCGACGGGGCCGCAGCGCGCGCGGGGGGTATCGCCCGCGGGGCCAATGGCGCGCCGTGGTCGCGGGGAGTAGCGCCGCTGCGGGCGGAGCTGCCGCGAGCACTCGCGGGGTGGAGCGCCCGAGAGGTGGGCCGCCCGCCCGCACGGGTGTCTAGGGGCAGCTCCGGTGGCCTACCCGGCAGGCGCTCCGAGGACCCTCGTGCTCTCCTTCGGCCTGAGGCGGAGCGCCTGAGAGGTAGGCCTCCCGCCCGCACGGGTGTCTAGGGGCAGCTCTGGTGGCCTACCCGGCAGGCGCTCCGAGGACCCTCGTGCTCTCCTATGGCTTGAGCTGGGGCGCCTGGGAGGTAGGCCGGCCGCGCGCACGGCCGCGCGAGGGCGGCCCCGGTGGCCTACCCGGCAGGCGCTTCGAGACCCTCGTCGTCTGGCTCACGTTCTTTAGTCAGCTCTCGTTTTCACGGTGTGTACTTACCGTCGCGGTGACGCCGCCGAATATAGCGAGGTTCCTCTTGTGCTTGTTGCTGAACTCGTACCGGGTGTAGATCTTCTTCCCTACCCAAACGGGCAGGCCTGTTGGGCAACATAAGGGCAGGTGTTAAAAAGGCTCGCACTCCAGTTTCACACACGAAGGGGGGCGTTTGGATGTTACCTACCGATGATCATGGCAGGAACGGCAATTCCCGCAATTAAACCAATCCCTACAGGTGCGCCGACCAGCGTGCCCAGTTGCCAGAGTATCTTCTTTTTCCTGGACCAGGGTTTCTTTCCCCAAAATGTACAACCCGACGGACTAAAATAGAAAGACGTAAAAAAAAAAATTAAGTCGAGTCGACGGCGACGGAATGTTTTTGAATTACATACATACTCTTCGCGCGTACAGACAAAAAGTGTGCATCGAGAAACAGACACCAACCTTAGGAAATGCAAATCTGTAACTTCCTTCATACATAGCCAACAGAACTCGGCCCCGCACACCGCGCACTGCATGTGGTTGCAGGAGCCATCGTCCATTTTGCCAATAAGCACTTGACACCGGGGACAAGGTTTAACATCGTCTCCTACAATGAAAAAAAAAACAAACGGTAACGAAACATCAGAAACGAAAATAGAAGAGAAACAATAGAAATTCACGGCAGTTATGGAAATTACTAAGTCGGTGGTGATTGAAGGTAGTTGAAGTTGATTTTGAGGGTGACCTCAACATCCTCGCATCATCACAGGTTTGATTAGGGTGCCACTCTGCCTTGCAGTGGTAGCAGAAATAAGAACTACATCCGTCGCGCTCGCATTTTATCTTTGGGCAGCTAGCACAGCCAGAGGCTATTACGGCAAAACTGAAAGCAAACAATATCGTATTAGTCGAAAAATCAGCGCTAGAACATTGGTCTTGTTGTCATGTTGAGATGCACGGTACTCACCTACAATCAGGGGCAGGACACCACCTGGTGTCCGGATCACAGGCCAAAACCCTCCTCACCATAAAGTCTTCATATTTCTCAAATACTACATTATCATTAAGAATCATTCGGATGTCTGCAATATAAAGATACGCATATTTAGAAGGGTCAACACAGTGCAACGCAAAATTAAATAGCGCGAAAACGTTTGAGAGACTATTTAGTTATCAGGAAACGAGAGGTGATATTCTACGACTTCAGAGATATGAACTAAACAACAAAGCACACTGGATGGAAGCAAAACATACCACTTGGATGCATGGGTGCTGTACATTCTGGACATGCAATATTCACACGGGACTCAGATATCTCTACACGAAGATACTTTTGAAAACAGTCATAACATGACCTGTGAGCACAGGTGAGGAGCTCAGGGAAATTCTGGCTGGGTTGCTCATTTAGGCAGAGAGGGCAAACGAGGCCGAGGGGCCACTGCAACAGACACGAGAGTGATTAGACAAGAGACAAACACCGCTTACGAGCGCGACACTCGGTGCACCCGACGACACCGGCCCGGCCCGGGGCCCGACCATCGCCTCGCGGACAACGGCGCACCGGTCATACCTTGGCGGACTCCCCGGAGGCCGAGGCTAGACTGTTGACCCTCTGGACCTTGTCCCGCTCCGGTGCAGATTTGAGTGCGGCCTCTCCGCGCTCCACGTCCTGGGACGGGCCGTCCACCGCGCTCCGCTCGTCTGAGGGAGGAAGGACAAAATATTATTAACAGGCCCAATAAAAAGGGTTTACAGATAACTTTTGTTTTCATAACACTTAAAAATATGTTCACCCAATCCAAAAAATATAAATAAACGCCAAAAAAGAAATAATGCCTGATAAAACGGAGAATTCCTAGATTTTTAAAAGCAAGTTTCTTAAAACTTCAATTTTCTATCTGAAAGTTTCTACTCTTTTCCTCTAAGAAGTCAACATTGGAAAAATCAGACAGTGTATTGCTAAAAAAAATTATGCCTGAAATTTTTTAATAAACTTAAATGTTTCTGAAAGTTTATACTCTTTTCCCTCTAAGAAGTCAACAAAATAATATTGGAAAAATGAGACATTGCATTGTTGTGACGACAAATTGACTCACCATTGGACTTGACGGATCTGGAGTTGTTGCGGTTGATCCTGCGCGGCACCAGGGGGCTGGCGTACAGCAGGCGGGTGAGCGAGAAGTGCGACAGCCCGCGCTTGCGCTGCGCCGCCGCCACGCCGCCGCAGCCGGCGCCGCCCTTGGAGGCGCCGCCCCCGGCGTGGGCCGCCTCCCGCGGCTGCTCCTTGCGAGAGCCCCGCATCCTGCAGCAGACAAAACACACAACAAACGGCGTAAATTTAAGGGGGAAACAAAACAGAACCGACAAAGAAAAATACAGAGAAAATGACTAATTTCAAAACAGTAAAAATCGACAAGAACGTTGCAAAACAAAGCTAAAATAACTTTGTTTGCATGAATAAAACTAGACAGGCTGATAACACGCTGAGCGATGTACGACCACTACGTGGTCACGCTCCCATGTTGAATCGCGGGCACGAACAATGCCCCCGAACTCAATGTGTTAACAGCCCGTCAACAGGCAGGCACCCCGCGCCGGAAGGTGACCGGCCCCGCCTCCGCATGCCCGGCCAGAAGTCAGTGTCAGACGGACCTCGAGCAGAACGTGTCGAGCGCGTGTGTGGCGCGGCCGGGCCGAGGCGAGCACTTTTAAAAGGAACGTTGTTGTGCGAACGGCCAGGGCTGGCGCGGCTGGGCCGGCCTGAGCACTATCGCCGCGCGCTACATGAGTCACCGTCACGGCGCGCAAAGGCAGTAAAACGTGTCGTGAGCCGTCGTCATGCCACGCCACACGGCGTCGTGTGACACGCTCGTCACGAACCCGGCCACCGTCACTCGACGCGCGTGGGGGGGCAAAGGACGTATCGTCACACGCACGCACACTACCAGCACCAGCAGCAGCGACAAAACAAAACGACGCAAAAAGGAAAACGGTCTGGCGAGCCAAAAAGTGAAGATCACGGGAGAGGTAGGAGGGAGGCTGGAGTGAGGGGAGCAGCACAGCGGGCAGCGGCCGGTAGAGGACATGCAAAACCAAAGCGGGTTTGTCGCCGTCGCAGCCCGCTCTTCCCACGCCGGCAAGCAGGACATCTTGTTGCCTTAAGGTGACTGGTTGCCCCACCCCGCCCCGCCCTCTGCCCCGCCAAAGCAAACACCTCACCTCAGCCGCTCGGCCCGGCACTGGCGTCACACTCCCTCCGGTCTATAAACAGCAGCTTATTCTCCGCCGCCGCAGGGATTCGCCGCAATTCCGCAGTCGCGGCGAAAAACTTTGTTTTGTGCGCGGTGATCCGACGCACGCGCGCCCCGCGGGGGAAAATGGGGCAAGGGGAAAGAGGGGAGGGGGGAGGAATTTCGTTCGCTTCGTTCCGTTCGAGTGCCGCACAATAAAATGATAGAGAGAGAGGGAGAGGGAGAGGGAAGGAGAGAGCGCGGAGAGTGACGGGAGGCGGAGCAGAGAACAGTAAGGCGTCTGGACCGGCGACCTTGGCAGAGGCGGATCGGGCGCGATTGGGTCGTGGGGCGCGACACGCGGCGCAGATCCACGCGCTGGCGGCACGGCACGGCATCCCCCGCGGGGACCCGCCCCCGGCCCGCCCCCAGTATAGGCGACGAACCACACGAGTCGACGAGTCGCACGTGCGGGGCGGGGGCGCCCTCCGCTCCTCCCTCCCGCTTCCTCCTCATGCTGTGGCGCGACACTTTTAGGAGCGATCCGCGCCCGTGCGACGGCCTCTCGCACGACCGTTCAAGTGGTCTTCAAGACTCTTCCACGAGACGCCACGACGACGATCGATACGAGCGACAAACACGAGAAAGCAGCCGTCACATACCGCCACCCGCAGGTGGCGACGGACTGCGAGCGTCACACCGCCCACAAACCACACGGGCACCGCTATATCCTCAAGGACTTGTGCTACCCGTCAGTTACGGGGAATTATTTTATGCAGGCGAAATATGATATCACATATGTTCTTGTGAAAAGGAATGAAATCATCCGTGATATGGATAACTTCGTTCGTATTTCTCACTCAGGACGGGGGGAAAACGCCTGCAATGCGACGCGTAGGCAACACCGCAACACGGCCGTGCGTCCGGGTAGCCTATCGGACCCCTATGGCCGGCTGCCGCGTGCCAACGCCTACGCCACGCGCGCACCTCAGTCACTCATCCCCCGGGCAAAAGCCTTTGAAACACAAGTGCCC